CCCTTGGATAATCCCATTTAAAAGCAATTGGTCACTTTCTTATATCTATGAACAGACCATATGTATTATTATTAATTAACGTCTCTTTGGAACCCATGAGATAATGAACTTAACTCTTTCGTTGACTCACCCTATATACATATATAGAAGACGACCGAAACTTGCAATATACATCCCGTCGGCTACCCCCGTATCGCACCTCATTTTACACCTTAGTGATACCGAGCCGTATATTTGTTCCCTTTTTATTACTTCCGGTGGCGGCGGTGGTTTTGGGCTTCGCGGTCTTAACCAGTACGCGGCAGCAGTTTCCAATTACGAGAACGAGAGGATGTAAGGAACCGACAAAAGTCGCTGCACAATCGAAAACCCACCGCAATAACGTAATGAAATAGAAAACGGAACACAATCTCTTGCGAACACGTGCTCACCCACAATGGTATGAAGCGTGGGTTCGAAGCTCTTCCGTGAAGTCCCTGGGCTAGACGGGTCGATAAAAACCATGGATATATTGTTGCGAGAATTAATAATAATAATAATAATAATAATAATAATAATATTATATATAAAAAAGTATGGAGAGAAATTTAAGCCCAATGAAATCACGAGGCAAATTTAAATGTCTCCAGGGAATGTTGTAGATAATGGTCTGGTTTAAGTTTTTATCAGATAAGTTTACAATTTTTCCTGTTTCCACGTAAAAATTATTAATATTTTATGATGTACTTTTGTTAAAGGCAAAGGAAAAACCATTATTAAGAAGAAAGAACCGTTTGAATTGGGCAAAATCTAAAATACCCCGGACAACGGAAACGTGGAGTAACGTTATCTTCAGCGACGAATCAAAATGTGATGTGTGTGTGGGCGATTTTCGAAAAAGGGTGATTCGTACAAAATCAGAAGCGTTTCACAAAGATTGTCTAAAGTGCACGGTAAAATTTCCCCAGCGTGTTATGATATGGGAGTGTATGAGTGGTAAAGGGGTTGGCAAATACAAGTTCATTGATGGTACCGTAAATGCAGAAAAATACCAACAAACTTTTGGAAATGAAAATTTTATATTTCAACAAGACGGTGCGTCCTGCCATACTGCGAAAACAACAAAAAAGCTGTTTGGGGACCACAATATGAAAGTTTTATCGTGGCCATCAAGTAGCCCCGACTTGAATATTATTGAAACTTTATGGCATCGGATGAAAAAGACTTACAATCCTCAGCGTACGGTTCCAGCATTAAAGGCAAAAATCACCGAAATGTTCGATTTAAAGTAAAAGATTTAAATACGTCCGAATATTTATTTGTCAGCAAATTCGGTTTTTCATATTTTGTTATGTAATTTGTGTGAAATAAAAAATAATTTATTACGGTAGCACTTTTCGGTATAAAAATAAGTGCGTGATTTCATTTTTCAATCGAAAAGGAAAAAAATCAATTTAAAATAAGTATAAATATGTTTTCTTATTATTTCGTACATCGTCCGAACAATTAGTTGTTAGGGCTCGTACACGATTGCTTACTGTTTTCTTTGATTATCGTGGCTTGGTACATCAAGAGTTCTTACCAAAAAATCCTGTTGTCAATAAACAGTTGATGTTATGCGCCATTTGCGAGACGAAATAAGAAGACAACTTCCGGAATTGTGGGAAAACAATTCATTGATTTTGCATCACGGTGCTTGCTTTTAACTTATTAGCTAAAAGCAAAACAACAATCATGCCTGAGCCACCATATTGACCAGATTTGCCCCCCCCCCCCCCCCCCCAACCCCTCCACCGCGAATTTTTCCTGTTCCCAAAACTCAAGAAACCCATGAAAGGAATGAGGTTTGGAACGATTGAGGAGGTAAAGAAAAAGTCGCTGGAAGAACTCAAGGCTATACGAGAAAGTGCTTACCAGAGTGCTTTGAGGATTGGAAAAAACGTTGGCACATATCTGGGGGGATTACTTTGAAGGGGACAGCATTAATTTTGATAAATAAATATTAATAGATAGAACTTAAAAGTCACCGTACTTTTTGAACACACCTCGTATGCTATTTTGTGTGTTCATGTTGTTTATTTATTACTTTAATGGCTAGATTTTTGACTGACCAATTGCCACGTTTTTTGATGACGCAGCCACTTGTTGATTTCAGTATAATAAAAAGGAATATTATTTCTTGTGGTTTTTAACCATCATCGATTTATATTTAACTAATTTTGAATACATTTACCCAACTTTATGTTATATATAATAATTATAATTATTTATTAAAAAGTATTTAATAAAAATAAAAACATTACTGATTTTATTTATTTTAACCGTTTTGTACACCATATATATCTTCAATTTTGTTGATTAATTCAAAAGAATTGTTTCTTGCAAATTTTGGTTCAAAATCGGTGTGCAAACTTAAAATATTTACTAATTTTGTTGACAGTTTAACTGCTGGAGCTGTCACATAAGCTACTTATGTAAAGATATCAAAATCCCTTCTAACTCAACACTATTGTCTTTTGATGTACAAAACTTATTTCCCAGTATTCCACCTATGAATGTGATAGATTTAGTAGATATCACCTTAACTCGGAAACAAGTTAACCCATGGGTCAGACAAGATTTATTAGATTAGACCAAAATTATTTTGAATTTAATGGACAGTTTTACATCTCAAGGAAGGTGTGATCATGGGATACCCACTTAGTCTTTTGTTAGCCGAGATTTGTATGGATAATTTGGAAAATATCATACTAGAACATCCTTTAAGTAAAAGTTTTCTATGGTGGTATAGATATGTGGATGATGTCTTTGCTGATAACTCTATTAATTTTTTAGACTCAACTATTACGAAAACGCAACAAATTAGATTTTTCCATTTATCATAAACCGTCACACACGGACATAGTCATACATAACAGCTCAAATCACCCTTATACACACAAAATGGCTGCATTTCACTCTTTTATGCGCAGACTTCTTAATACGCCACTCTCAACAGAAAATTACAACACAGAACAGCGAGTTTGTAAATATTACATTTGATGTCGTCGAAACAATTGTCATGTAAAAATATATAATTTCGTGAAAATCTGAACTTTTAGTTCTTATTTATTTTGATAAATGGATTTCCATCAAGTAAAAGCCACCTCAGTGCAGTTTAAGAAAATATTTATCGAGAACGATTAGTGGCGGAGTTGGTCATTGAACTAGGTGAAGACACTAGCGAGAGTGGCGATTTTTTAAGTGATCGATACTTTATTATTATTATATTTAATATTTTGACGGTCCTGGAATGGTTACCGGTAAGGGTCTGTTCGGAAGGGTGCAGTTTTGGAGTAATAAACAGTAGGCAAAGTTCATCGCGGGGTCGGTTGTAAAAGCACTGTATGTATGGTCGAAGTATACCACTAAACAAGCATCATCATGAGTTTTACAGGAAGTCTCCATTTATTTGACTAGTTATTTATGTAACTTGCTATCAAATAAATTAAAACTGTGTGCATCAACAAATAGCTTTAAATCAAATTTGAAGCAATTGCTTTTTAGCAATACAGGGAGATTGATAAATATAAAATAATTGATGTTTTTAATTCTGCAATATTATACTTTTCCATCTTTTGTGTTTCATTTTTATCTGTTTCTCGTCTTTGTTTTACGAAGATACAATCTTGCTCCCCCCTGCTCCATTTCGTAAAAGTAATTTTTAAAGAAGTTACCGGGTGGCCAAAAAAACGGAGGACAATGTTTTGACCAATGAATATATAAATTTGTTTTCTTTGTTTTTATAGAGCGATAGCGTAACTTAAGTTTGATTCATGTAAGACATTGTAATTATTTTTGGCATTTCAATAGTGAAAGGTATTGTCATAACTTTTGATCACTATGCGATGCATCCTCTCTTGACACTAAGACTAAGTATAAATCAAAACCTTGAATGAACGCAGAGCACTGATTAAACTTATTTAAAACTATGACTAATGCAAAAATTGTAACAAAAACAGAGCAAAGTGTTTAACTGAATGATACTTTAGATGTATAAAAACCCTGTTATTGTTTTATATTAAACAAACTTAAATATTTTGAAAAATCCGACGACAATATTTTGTTTTAATCTATGTTAAATAAATAACTTTTTTTTTGTTAAATTGTTACGTTTGGGGCACTCTATATTATTATTTTTTTATTTGCTTAAATATAATTATTTCAAAATGTTTCTACGTTTTTCTGTAGTGTTATGAAATCGTTTTAATTAAAAACTGTTTGTAAATATAGAGTTTTTTTGTGAACACCTTGTATAATAATTACATTGCATTAAAGTTTCATGTTCGTAACAATTTTTTTTTCTTTATTGATGTGTTTTTATTAATATTAAGTAAAATTTATTGGCATTACAAAAAAAATCAAATTTGTTCCGAAACTGCTTAATTTTGAACAAAAGGACCGTCAAAGGAGCACGCTCAAGAACTGTTATGATTATCCTGATATGCTCAAAAGGATCACAGCTGATGACGAATCATGATAAAAGTTAAGTCACTTTACTTTTCGAACACACCTCGTATACTATTTTGTGTCTTCGCGTTGTTTGATGCTCTCATCTAACTTTTTTGTTAGAGCTAGATTTTAGACTGACCAATTTTTTTTGTTTTTATTATACGGTCCTATGTTTTTGACGGTGCAGTTGCTTGCTGACATCAGCATATTTAAAAAAAGATTATTGTATGTCTAAATGGCGTTATCGATACTATTTCTTATTAGTTTATTGGAGACCATAAAACATATTGAGTATGGAGTATTGAGTATTAACGAACAATATTATCACGAACAACATAATCGTCATTGCAGTGTGAGTTTCAAGTCTATCGAGGAAAGATGCTGGCGATATTAGTCTTACCGCCATGTTATCCGCCACTTCTAGAAATTAGATTAAACTTATCGCCGCGGAACATTCGCAATTAATAAATACCATTTATATACGTTTATTTAAATTGTAAACTATTTGATAAAGATCGCGTCGTGCATCATCGATAAAACGGGCGACGCGAATTTAGTTCAGTGCCAAATCTAAAATGAAGTTGACCGGTGCATTTGCTTTTATTTTGGCAAATCTTTGCGTATTGCAGGTGAGATCCGAGCCAAAACGATTGCTTCATTGGATTGTCTGTTTTGCGTTGGTTATCTTTCATACGTATTAAACATTCTCGAAAACGTAACATTTAGCACGTTGTTTCGTTAATCTTCGCATTTGGTTTGATATAGGTTTAGAGTCGAAAAACACATTTTTCACCGAGAGTCAAACAGATAGCAATCGCCAAAATACATATTATGCCTCGGTATAATACGACCAAAAATATAGTGCATGGATTGAAGTATTTTACAGTAACTTAACCGCATTCCTTCGCAGTACCGTGGTAAAACACATCCCAGCAGATGTTTATTCTGCATTAAGTGAGTCTTTACCTGAGATGGACGGCAACGAATATTTGTAGAAGTTAAAAGAAGATTAATTACAGGCATTTAAAAATTTTGAACTTTTCAGAAATAGATTCTAATAATTTTTTATCTACATAATTTCTCAAAATTTTTATTCTAATTAATAGACATGGATTTCAAATTTTAAAATGGTTGTCAGTATGTAGTGTAAGTACATTAGATGATGAGGTGTATTGGCATTCTTTACAGCTGAGTAATTTCAATTATTATCAGTAAAATGGCCGAAAATAAAATTTATTTGGTTGGTTTTTCATGTAGAAAATTAAGTAAACGAAAATTACCGAGTACAAGAAAAGTTTTACAATTATTTTTGTACAAGCGTGCAGATTCTAACCTCACAATTGAAATTGGATTGGAATCTATGTCGAAACTTCTTAGTTTGCACAAGTTAAAAAAATACTATGTCGATTTGACGTTTTCCATTCTTCATTTAAATATTTAGACTGAGCTTCTGTTAAAGAATGTGCTGAGTTATCATCAGATGTATCAAACAAATTCTCAAGGCGATTTTTAAATGTATGCTCCGTAATTTTTTGTTCCTGAGTTTAATGGTTGACAGACGGAAATACCAGTAGGTTTCCAAACTTTCATAAAATCACAAATCACTTCATCATAATACTGTCGAATTGTGAGGTTAGAATCTGCATGCTTGTATAAAAATAATTGTAAAACTTTTCCTGTACTCAGTAATTTTCGTTTACTTGATTTTCTACATGAAAAACCAACCAAAAAATTTTATTTTCAGCCATTTTACTAATAATAATTGAAATTACTGAGAGCTTTAAAGATGACAATCTATAATAATTTCTTAATATATGTTTTGCAGACACTGATAATTTGACAACTGTACCGTATGATCTATTATAATTAGTGCTGCCACCTACACTACGTACTGACAACCATTTTAAAATTTGAAATCCATAGAAATAAAACGCTGACAATTAATTAGGATAAAAACTTTGAGAAATTATTTAGATAAAAAAATATTAGAAGCTATTTCTGAAAAGTTCAAAATGTAGTAATTTTTAAATGGTTGTAATTTATCTTTTTTTAATGATAATCATACTTTGTTATAAGGTTTTCGAAAACTTAAAGACCCAACCTTAACAATATAAATTGTTTTTTTTTTTTGTAAAAATCGCGAACATTATAGGCAAATTTAATTTTAGTGAAGAAAGAATTTTTCCCATGGTAATTAAATCTAAAAGTAAAATAAAAAATAGCGACCTCTTAGAGTTGAACTATAGGGCTCATCTTTGGTGAGGATTTCTTTTATATCAGAAAGAAACATTTGAGATGGAAAGAGCTAAAAATAAATTAAAAGTTTTTTTTGAAGCACCCTAATACATAATCTCTCGTTATTAATATTCTTATCAATAGAAAATTAGACCTAACATTGGGTTATTTCTGTTTTCAGAAAACCTACCTTAATGCATTGTCACCATCCGGTCTCTCTTATTAAATGTGATAAAGACACGGTGTGGTCGAAACAATTGTTATGAGAATATATATAATTTCGTGTAAATCTGAACTTTTAGTTCTTATTTATTTTGTTAAATGGATTTTTATCAAGTTAAAGCCACCTCAGTTCAGTTCAAGATATATAAGCACTCAATCACAAAATACACTTCACCAAAACCTTCCAAAGGTAATGAGTCCGAAAGCAACCCCACACTTGCCACTGTTGTCGTTTCTTACATTCAAGACATCACTGACCACATATCACATGTTCTTAAGAAATATAACATTAAAACAACTTGTCCAATAATATATATATATATATGTTCGAAGTGTTCGAAGTGTTTTCGGAGCGCGAGCATTGAAGATGCCAAGTGAGATTTTGGCGAAACGTCTGCGGGATTCCAGTCGGATGCAGGATTTGCAGGATTCCAGTCGGATGCAGGATTCCAGTCGGAGTTCAACGAGCGAACGGATGATATCCCGGAATATAGTGTCATCATATATATATATATATATATATATATATATATATATATATATATATATATATATATATATATATATATATATATATATATATATATATATATTTTTTTTTTTTTTTTTTTCTTAATAATTTTTTTCTTTTTCGTTTCTTAATAATTTTTAACAAAATTGTTAAGAAATTAATAACAAACTTATTGAAAAAAAATTAGAACATTGCAACTAGATAAGTTGTTAAAAGTGTCCTCCACCTTTAAGGATACACGTTTCAGTTCGTTTTCTCATATTGCCTCGCATTCTTTGAAGTATTTATCCAGTGTTTCTTTCTTATACGATCCTTAAGCTCGTCTACAGTATTGACTGGAGTAATTTAAAAGTCAATTAAAAGTCCAAACTATTTAAATCTGGGGACCTAAGGGGCCATATTCTCTTACTGCAACACTAAAATTAGCAGGCTAAACGTCAGTCTATCAACAACTGACCCATGAGAACTCCAGAATATATCTAAATGGTATTACAGTAGTCTGTGGAAGTTTCTTTAAAAAATAGGCTTAACATTATCCTTTGGGCCTTCCTTTGTAGCTTAGCTTACCAAGTCGGCTGTCAATTTGGCCCATAGATTCCTGTCTTTGTTCTGGTGGCTCTCTCTCGTTCATTCATTGATGTGGCGTCCATGCTCTGGTACTCACGACGTCTCCACTTCTCAGAATACAATAGGAGATTATAATTATCGATGACAACATAACCGAGCAGTTGGACCCAAGCAATGACGCGTCTATCCTCTTTTCAGGGATTTGGTACGACTGCGGCCGAGGCAGACCTAAACCCCGTAGAAATCATACTCCAAATAGTCGAAGAACGCGTCCTGTCCATAAACGCGATCAACGCGAGGATAATCAAAGCTGCGGGTCAATTGATCCAGTACTTCCTGGAAGACGCTGACTCTATTAGGGACGCCTTCAGCGATATAGCTTCCGAACAGATCGATTTCATTTTGGAGGCGTTCAGGGCGGCCATGAACCACTTGAGCGTCGACGCCGGTCCTAATTTCAGCACCGCCATTAATTGCACGCAGCGATTTTTGGACCAGCTCGAGTTCTTGTCCGGGGTGGCCATCAACAAAACCGCCATTTGCGTGGAAGAAGACACGCTGAAGCTGCTCGACGACGTGGACGCGATTTTCAACGATTTGGAAAAGGTCAACGGAAGGTTGCACGACATAGAGGGTCGGTTGTCCTCCTGCGGCTCGACAGATGACGTCGTCCAATGCGCGTTAACTTTGTTGAAACGGATCGAGAAAGAGGCCGAGAATATTCCGAATGCGGTAGAAGAAAGTGTCGGCAGAGCGAAAGACACGCTGACCGTGCTCGAGCAGAAACTGATTCAGTGCCTCAACGATTCTCTCAACTGGCTCGATCAGCAAGGGGACCCCATATATTTCGAACTCGTCGATTGTATAGGATAAAAAGCCCAGCGTCGGCGAGTCTCTTAATTAACCAATAAAATTCAACTATATTTGTCAATTTTTTTTTATATTTACAAAAACTATTTTACCCACTGTCAAAGGAAGAATCTCCGGCGTTGCCCAGTTTACCACAAACATCAATGACTGAAACAACCCCAGTATAGTTCGCTCAAAGCTATACCGTTTTGGTTTTGACTTCGGAATGAGTTTAAGACCCGCCTATTGTTGACCATCCTTTTCAGCACGTGTATGGTCTGTTTATAGATATAAGAAAGTGACCAATTGCTTCTGAATGGGATTATCCAAGGGCGGTCATTAACATAAAATGCAATAAGATTATTACCTAAAGTTTCGGAATTTAAATTCAGGTAAAATTGTGGTCCGTAATAGAAAATAATTTTATACCTATCTGTGTTTAATATTGTTTGGTTTGGTATACTACATTTAACATATATATATATATATATATATATATATATATATATATATATATATATATATATATATATATATATATATATATATATATATATATATATATATATATATATATATATATATATATATATATATATATATAACAAAGCGTGCCTACATTAGAAATCTTAATTAGGAGGCTTGAAAAAATCAAACCAGAACTACCTTATGGAAGTGTATTCAACACATGGGTTTTAGATTTAAAAAAGTTGACAAAGGGCAAGTTCTAATGAAATCTTTTACAGAGAACAACAAAGGCCAATTATTTACTTGGAAACCTGGTTCGACACTTATGATATCCCGGAAAAGGGTTGGGTTGACTATACTGATAAGTGTAAAACAAACGCGCCATCAAAAAGAATAACTATTTTGCATGCCGGCTCTAAAGATGGTTGGATTCCAAATAGACTTTCTCTGTCTGCGAAAAATATTAAAGTTTCTTCTATGGATCATCATGAAGACACCACCGCTGATTTATTTGAAAGTGGGTTTAAAAACAAACTAGTTCCAAACATTTCTCCTAATAGCGTCATTGTAATGGACAATGCAAGTTATCACAGTAGACAGTTGACTAAAACCACTTAGTCATGTGACACAAAAGCAACAATCCAAAACTACATGTATAATAGCGACATTTATTTTCACGGAGGTTATACCAAAAAGCAATTAATTGAGGTTCTACAAAGCTTGAACCTACAAAAGGAATACGTCTGTGATAATTATGCAAAAAATGTAGGGCATATAGTTCTTTGAGGCTTCCACCCTACCACTGTATATTTAATCCCATTGAACAACTGAAATCTGCCATTCGTCGTAACAATGTTTTTCCCCGTGTTAACTCCACTGTCCTCAAACTTATAGAAACCGAAGTTTTTAACATCCCTCCACAAAGTTGGGCAAATTCTGTTAAACATATAGAAAAAGCAGAACAATCGTATATCCATATTGCAAATAATATAGAACAAATAATAATTAGAACAGGCAATGACAGCGATAGTTATACAGATATATTTTGTGACCTGTTGGGCCATATTTCATTCTTACAGTTTGCCCGGGTCTTTCCTTATGTCGTATCAGTTAGTCACTTTCTTATATCTATGAACACACTTTACCACAAGCCAGGGCCGTGTTTAAAATATTAGTAGATAAGAACTGTGCCGTGCGGACTGTTGTATTTTAAGATTAGGGAAATTTTCTTTGATTAATTCATATTAGCGTGCTTTTTATAAATATTCCTAAAACAATCCCTATTTTTGGTAGCTCGATTTCAACTTGAACTTGCCCATTAGATAGGTTGATCTCCTGTTTTAACCTTCGTCGTACCGCGGTCAAAAATTTACGGAGAACACCATGTGGGGTACAATTGTAGGGTAGATATACACTGTAACAACAAAATTAAATAGTTAATGTAAATAAAATATGTGTAATGCATATTATATTTCTTGAAAAAGTTGAACAAAATAAATAATTCTCAAAAAAAGCTAGAGGAACTCCTCAACTCATGTTAATTCACGTCTCAGCTGTTGGCGGATCGGCTGTTACAACCCCCCACCTCCCCCCGCCCGAACCCAAACGCCGTTCTTGATTTTCGTTCATTTGAACATTCGATCATTTGCTACCATCTCGAACATTGCACCATTTGTGGTGTTCCCAATTTTTGGCAGTTTTTGTTATAACCTCGCAGAGTTGGAAGTCAAAACCGCGGTGTTCATCTTCCGAACGTGTCGGTTCCGCAAGAGAAGCGCGGATTCTCAAAATGCCTCCGGCATCACTACAATAATTAAATCTATTACCTAAATGCTGCAAAATGCGGCGACAATAACGTTTAAGTGTCGGCCATTAACGGCGAGAAACAATAAATTTTGCCGAGGTTTCCCATGGACAATGCGGAAACTGCGGGCAGCTGATGAAAAACGCGCGTTGCATATTAATTAATATTAGTTCCGACTGTTTACTGAAAATATAAATATTCGTCGTGCTCGCCAAATTTGGCAAAAGCGTTTAATGGGATATTGACGTGTAATAATGGCGGCTAAACGAAACGTTTGTTTTTGTGCCTATTAGAAGACCTACGTCATTTTAGCAAAGCTGAGATACAGTAGAGCTTCGGTAATCCGGATTAGTAAAAACAGAGGCAATCCGATTGGCGAAACATCCGGATTATTGGAATCTTCTTAAAAGCTATTTAAATTCACCAAATACACATTGTTGCAGCATTTATTAATACAAAAAATGAAAACATTTACTAAAACCTAAAAAATAAAAGAAAAAGAATACCCACCTACCGACGTAGCACGACAACGAAAATAATGCAAACAACAGGCTTGGGTCTCTATATCATTTTTCCCCACTAACTTTGAGGTTAGGAATACCATGTCTCTTTTTAAATTTGGTTTCCCAAACCCTACTTCCGTTAAAATTGTTATTACCATAACATTTTGCATAAAGTTCTATCGCTTTTTTTCTAAAATGTGGATAAATGTTTTTCCCGATGCTTAATAAACCAGTATAACTCAGTTTCGGTTTGATGGTATTCTCCTTTTCGTAGAGTTTTCTTACGGCCCGGTGCAGAAAAACAATTTTCGATGTAGCTGAAATAAGATTGCTTTCGAAACATCGTCGCAATGTTTATCTATCGTGCTCCTGCGGATCATTATGCAACTTTCGCAAAATCGATGTAATTTAATTGTGCATACACCCTGTATAAAGTGTCCTTTACATCTCGTCGAACTTAGTTACAGTAAACATCGGTAAAGATTAAAATTTGCACAAATAACAGCGTCGTCAAATGATATTTTTTCATATATCTCGCACCTTGTATAATTGACGAAACCTGAAACTCTCTCCCGACACAGTTTACGATACTGTTCAAATAAAATTATCCCATCTTTAACGGTTTTTCATTTATCGCCAATAGTTTACCCAGAAAAACGTAAATTTTTAGGATCTTTTAGATTTTTTGCCCATAAACGACATACCCTGTACATGATTCAAACAATGCTCAATGTCCTGGATCTTCCACGGTTCCTGGTCCAAGAATTTTGTGTTTTTAAATATAAAAAAACATGTTCTTCCTGATGTGCCGCTAAAATTAGAAGACACACCAAACTGTAACATTCAACAAGAAAAAAATCTCACTGCTGTTCCTCCAAGCAGGAAATTATGCAGAAACAAACAAAAATAAAAATAAAATAGGAACAGGGATGGGTTAAGAAGAACAGGACTGTACGAGAGACTTTTGGTAGGTTAGCTAAGCAAGCATTGTAATTCAAGTCGTACCTTGAGGTCGATCTAGATCGAGGCTAGATCCTTCAGAAGATTGAGAGACCTCCTTCAACCAAATGAAACATTAACCAAAACTAATCAAATATCCGTTGAATAAATTCGAATACGCGGTCCGCTAAGCTATGTGCATTATTGCGTCATAGAAACTTTTTTATTTAAAAGCTTTTTCTTAAATAATTAAATGTAACTAACATTTCATGGGATATTTTTACTCTTTTGTGTAATTAACTGCCATTCTAAAAGCAAATGTGACTTCTGCAGTTATTACACTGTGGGCTTTGAGAGACAATGAGGTACATTAGGATACAATGTAATAAAATGATTATTGTGATAATTGTTTAACTTCCTCAAGTCAGTTCAAAGCTACAAGCACTCTCTTTCTATAAAACTAATCCCATCTGTCCCCTTTTTTGAGTGCTGCAAGAAAACAAGATAAACCACTTGAGTAATGAAAATTTGTAGTGTTGTTATTTGTTACATCAAGTATGGCGCCTAATATTAATTCATATAGCAGGAAATTTCCTAGAAAGAAATGTGTTTTTCCAATGGTAGATTTGTCAAAGCGCACAGAAAGGAATGTCAAAAAAACAAAAAAATCATTGATTACCCACTGTTCCTGCAAGCACAAAAATAAAAATAAAATAGGAGCAGGGCCGGGGTAAGAAGAACAGGACCGTACGAGCTCTTCCGAGCGGTTAGCTAAACAAGCTACTTTATTGTAATTCAAGTCGTACCCTGAGGTCGATCTAGATCGAGGCTAGATCCTTGGGAGGGTTCAGAGACCTTCTTTAACGAAAATGTCCCGCCCGTCCTGAATATCCAATGCCCGGGTCTCGATATAACGTCCGTGCCCAGCTTCCCAAATCTCCGTTGAATATTATAATACGGCTGCCTGGTCCGCGGAGCTATGCGCACCATTGCGTCATAAAAACTTACGACGTATTCTGTAATCGATTTGAATCGCGCGTTTTGGAAGTCAATGAGTCCGTGGTGGGCCCGGTTTTTTGTCCGCGCCCCCTGTATGATCTCGAAACGTCTGATCCGGCGCTAATGGCGCCCATGCCTACGAGAGAGTTATTATGCAAACGAAGACCAAATATTAATCCTACTGCTAGGTCCGCTTAATGGGGCATTGTTGGGATTTTTCGCATACCTAGCTTCTGAATTATTGAAAATCTAATTTTTTGGAAGCAAACAATAATAATAACAATAACAATAACAATAATAAGAAACTATTATACAATCAATAACAACTGAACCATACAATTACCCAGGAATACTACAGACAAACGGTCTTAGAAAATTCTTTCGAAATAATCCTCATAGATACTCAATCGATAGTCAAAGCTGACAAAAGATACACGCCATTAAATCTAGCCGAG